ACACACACACACACACACACACACACACACACACACACACACACACACACACACACACACACACACACACACATATATATATATATACTGACTTGCATACAGACGTTTGCACGATTGCACGCATCGATACCTTGCAGATGGCTATCTTGTTGACAAAGATCAACGTTTATACTACATTATGCTAAAAGTGCATGTAAATGAGAAACTCGACACAACTTTTAGCATTATGTTTTGCTCGATTGTTTTTAGTGTTTAGGCTAGGGAGTAATCGCTTGGTGCATAGGAAATCTCACGATTCGCTATACTAGGTACTCCAATATTGATATGCGTTTTAAAATCACCCGACCCGTCGCCACACCATCACAATACCAATATATGGGAGAGCAGCGCCAGTGAGCACGATACAGTAGTGAGGAAAGATCTAAAGATGACCGATCGATACTTCACATTGAGTTGTACAGTCTCTTATATCGCATATATCTATTATCATGCGGGTTGAGAAAGGTGCCGTGAAGGTTGGTATACACATGCATTCCGGGCTAGTAATGAATCGCTCGCATCTAATCTAGCGGTCAACAACTGCTAGTGGATGTGATTCTGGCCTGTAACACAGTCGGCTATCCTCTGTGTCATGCACAAATAAAGCGAAACACATACATTAACGCCCACACGTATATATATATATATATATCGGTTTCAAGCGTGTACTCGAAAACATGTATACACGTGCACAAAAATGCATATACACGCTATGTACATATTAACACAAACATGTATATGCGCCCGTATATAGTCATGTAAATAAGTACATATACACACATACTCGCACACGCATTTATTTCTGCAGCTCAAGCGTACGGCGAAGGCCGTTGGCGCATCGGTACACCATACACTGCAGATGCAGCAAGGCAGCATGGCAGCAATTCTTCTGCCCAACTGCTTGGAGTTCGCGCCCATTCTGCACGGCCTCATGGCTGTGGGTGTGACGGCATCGCCAATGAATCCTGGGTAGGTCTATACCCTTAGGTCCTTGTTCTACTTATATAGTAGCTTAGTATAGAGACAGTTGCTCACGTCTGTATCGTATAGCACGTATGTCCTGAGAGCCTGCCTTGCTGCGTGGCCGTTGATGAAATCGTATCTGGAATCGTTGTTTACAGTTCATGGATTCATGGTTGCTGACTGCATAGGTGTCGTTTGAATGTCCAGCTTGGGACAAAAAATCACATTCGTACGCGTTCGATGTGAAATGCACATGAATCTGCACCTTTGAGTCTCGTCTCGTTGACGCCTATTTTTACATATAATATGCATTCACTCTTTGAACTAAACTAAATGTCTGGATATAGTCGAGCTCACGAGACTTGCCATCACGCTATACGGCATTCAACACGAGGTTGTAACTGTGTATCAAGAACTCTAGGCCTAATTTTCAGACCACATATTGCGACGCGTGAGCGAACATGGCACATCATAGGCGAGTGTATTCCATAGGCGCACATGCACGTAACACCTTGTTCTTATGAGTGAGCATCATCAGCGTGTGTGTGCAAATGGTACTTTGACGTCTAGACATACCCATCATACTTGTGTGGTGGTCAATATATGTATATAAGCATGTTCTTTCTCCTTGTGTGGTGATATATGTTTATAAATATGTGCTTTCTCCCTGTGTGGTGAAATATGTGAATATTTGCTTTGTCCTTTCGGGTGGTATATGTTTATAAATATATGTATACACTCTTCTTGTGTGGTGGTATACGTTTATAGATATATCTTTCCTCCTTGTGTGGTGGTAGACGTTTATAGATATATCTTTTCTCCATGTTTGGTGGTATATGTTTATAGATATATCTTTTCTCCTTGTGTTGTTGTACAGGTTGCACATGTACGTCGGTGTGCGTACTAGCTGTTACCAATCGGCCCACATATCTGTGTTCGATTACAGTCTCTACCCCAGATTCCATACTCGCGTTGCCGAACGTACTTGAAATGTATGAGAACATCTATACGCTTATGTGCATGTTGTAGATATTCGAGTGTGTCAATCCCAGAGAATATCCACACCCGTACAAACAATCTCACAGTTCTACATATAACCATGTTTCCCCCTCTAGGTACACCCCCAAAGAAATTGCCTATCAGTTGAACGATTCTCACGCTAGGACTCTATTCGTGCATGCATCGTTCCTGGAGAAGGCCCTGGAGGCAAGCAAGCTACTCGTAGACAACCACCCCCTGAATACCATTGTTGTGGTTGACAGTGATTCGTCGACAAACCTTTCTGCCGAAGGTGTGTGTGAGGTTAGGATGTGTCTTGTTGGTACACATCTTGGAACATGTGTTCGAAAACAATATATTACCGCATTTTGAGTAGAACCTTATACAGACGAAGTTGTATAAAGGCTCAGTTGTATGATAATATATAGATGTGCATATACATGAATGTGCATGTAAGCGCTCACAAGCTGATATGTATATATTTGTACGTCTATCTTTATTTTTGTAAATCCATTTGCATCTCTTAGCGTAACTATTGATACACATTAAACTGTCTGGCGGCGAGGCCATCAATTCTTACGCTCTGTGAATGATGTCATAGTATATCTGTCTCTGCATATACCTACATAGACACAGAAGAGTGATGGCATTCATCAGTACTCTGAACGACTACCTACGTGTTTCACACAAATACTTTATCCACAGGTATCAGCATACACCGATATGAAGATCTGGCAAGTGCAGAAAACATTCTGTTCCCGCGTATCGATGTCGACCCGAAACATGACATCGCTCTGCTGCCTTACAGCTCAGGCACTACGGGGCGACCAAAGGGAGTAGTGCTCACACATGAGAATCTGGTTGCCAATGTGACGCAGGTGGTGGATGGAGAGGGAGGTGAGTATATA